ATGGGCCTTCACTCACCTGGCAACAATTCGTCATCCGCAGAGCCGAACCCACCAAAGGCTAGATCAAACTGTTTCACACAACCAAGAGCTGACAGTAAACCAGATGTGCCTGAAGAAGTGGACCACCAAGATGAGCAAAACTTCACCAAGCCATCAGCTGACTCTGCGGGACCTGCTGCAGCCACTCCCAGTTCAATCGATTCTGCCGAGTGTGGGGCAGCGCCTCCCGTGACCCAATTGTTTGGGTTTTTCACGGCTCGGACACCCAGAGCGCAGAAGCTCATCCAGGAGATGGTCAGCGAAGGTGCGCTGTTATTCTCGGTGGCTGAAGAGATTGCGACCGGCGGATCTGCAGTAGGCAGTAATACTGGAGCACAAGTACATCTGGCACCTGACAGTGCGTCTCCGCCTATGCAGGAGCGCTGCCAGCCCATCGGATTCGTTCCATTGGATGATGATGTGGCTTCTGAAGCCTGCCTGGAACTGTTCCCAGTTCGGCAAGAGCATATTGGATGGACTCCTAGGGTAGAAACTAGCAAGGAGGCAGATCTTGACCTGAGCCTTAGTGCGCGTTCCCGAGCATCGTCTGGGTCAATCCTGTAATATTTGCTGCCGAGGCTCCTTACGAACCTGGCCGAGTACAATTTTGCTGGAATTGCAATGGATTGTCGTCTACCGAGCCGCCAGTCTTTTCTCTGTTATTCCCAGTGCATTCGTTTGCAATGATGCTGGCCATGCTTTTTCTTCTTGTAGTGAGTTACTTTTTTGTATTAATAATAACCTTAATAGCTAAGCTATTAAACTGATGTGTTGTTTCAAAATATTTATTTAACCTTAATAGCTAAACTGATGTGTTGTTGACGATGCCGTCGTCTCCTAGTAATTTGGCGTTCAAATAATGGTCTGGAGAGTGAGTTGGCTTTTTGATAATGATTAATAATTCAATAAGCCCCCCACGGCTAATTAGATGCGTTGTTGATGTATATGACGTAATTATTTCAAGTATTTTAAGGGTGTTTAATTCCTTCAAGTAACATTGCATTCTGGGTGTAACTAGCAGGGCAGGGAAGGCCGCTGAGGAGTAAGTCGCCCAAGAAGAGGGCTGCATATATAGGGGCACAGGGCAACCTACATGGCAGAAGTCCCGACTGATTTATGTGTCAAATTCTGATGTCGCAAAGGTCTTGGACTGGACTGCTACTCCCTCCGATGCATAATAACTGTCGTGGTTTTAGTTCATATACTTAATTTGTGTCCAACAACCATGTCAAGACCATGTATGGAACCCCAACTTTCATCAATATTTCATCTTTACTCGCAACATCTAGATTGCTCGCAACATCTAGATTGCAAATCATAGTTACTTGTTTTTCGATTGCTTGCAGGAATTAGACTTCATGACCAAGTTGATCGTGCTTCGGCAATGGTCAATAACCTTTCGAAATTGGTTTAGTGACTGGTAAGGAACGGTGTCTTTGCACGTTGTAGTTGAATGGTCAAAGTCTACTCCACTTAAACTGATAGAGACCTCTCACTGAAAGACCGGGATATCATTGTGCCTATTAGTCGGCTATTCTGAGCATGTTACCGGAATTGTCTTGGGTTGTTTGTTGATATGAAGTCGAAATTGTGACGGTGTGATCTGAGTGGCAAGTGGTATGTCCGATGATCTTCCACGACGTCGGGCTTGTATAATTCTCCTTCGTAGCTCGCCGTCTATCGGATCTGCGTTGTTGCCAACACGTGTGGCTAATTCCTTGTCACGGGCCTTCGTGTTGCTTCTCATGGCCTTTCCGATGCTGGTTTCATCCATGGCTATTTTCAATGAAGCCGAAGTCACTTGCTCCAGGACAAGTGATGACGATGATGTCAATATGAAACCTTGACGGGTTTTCTTCGCAGGAGTGTGTGTTGTATCTTGAGTATGCTTTTCGTAAATTAATTAGGCAACTTTCTTCTTCTTAATGAATGGACGATCTAAATCATGTACCTCCATTTTAGGAAAAAAAAACATGTGAATCTAAGAGGCCCTTAGAGCGTCAACAACCGGACCCCTCAAACCCTCCACAAACGCCCAGCGGACAGCTCAATCACTGCCCGGTCACAAAATTGCCACCCAACTAGACCCCCCAAAACCAGCCCAAACGTCCAGGTTGTCCGGCACCCTCAAACTCAGCCCATATGTGGGGCGGATTTGTGGATGCTTGGACGCGTCCGCCACATTGGATTCGACGAGTTGGACCTACTTCAAATATGCTCCAAATTTGACCAAGTCCACCAAATCGACAACCCTGCACCCGCGTCCAACTCGTTGCCCTCCTCCACCCTTGCTTCCCGTTCGCGCCGCGATCTGATTCCACCGTCCTAGATGTTTGTGTTCACAAGTGGCTGGCCGGAACCAAAGTGGGACTAGAGTCCATAGCTATGTAAGTTTGACATGCTTCACATTATCATCATTTGTATTGCTAGCTCCCTTCGTTGCATTATCTTGAGTGATTCTTGTTTGCTAGTTGGGGTTGGCGGCCACTTTGTACAACCAAACTGAGGACAAGCCATTCACTTTGTCCCATTGTTGGTTGAAATTGAATGGAAACTAAAGTGGCAACTAACCCTTGATGAGCTTAAAAAAACCACCAAGAAGTGGAAGACAAACGATGGCTCAAGCTCCCGACAATCTATTGGATTGGATGACGATGATGAGCAAAGTGGAGGAGCGGACGGGCAATCGACCATGCCAAAGAGGAACCGACATGCGATGGGAAACAAGTGGGAGAAGGAGAGGGACGCGCGTGACGCCGCGGCAAGCAAAGTGTTTGCCACATGGACGGACATTTTTTCCGTCAAAGAGAAGGAGGAGAGGGACCTGCTCTTCTTGTATGTGCAAAGGGAGGAGATGTGATAGGGACGTAGGTGTCCCGTCTTTCGATGAGATTGTAACTATCGTTTTTGGTGAAAGTCAACTTTGACGACCCGACTAGGAACGTGCAAAGATGTCATGCCTTAGCAATCGCTAAACCAACTCTAAGAGATTAGTGACCACGCCGGAGCACGATCAACCTGACCACGAGGGTCTATTTCTTGCAGGCAAACAAAGAACAAGTAAGAAATTGAGATTGCAATCTGGATACTGCGGATTTAAGAGGTAAGCTTTATTGATCGAAGTGGGGTTTTGTAACGTCTTGGTCTGGTCGTTGAACACAAACGAAAGACGCGAGTTGCAGCTATGGCGATTTTAATCTAAAAAATTCCAAGTCTAAATGACGCGTTAAGGGCTATATTTATAGAGGGAAGAGAGGGGATTTCGTCCCCCTTGACAAGGTGTGACTAAAACACCTCCTTAGTCGTTTCCCCTATAATATGGACTTTAAAAACAGCCTATGGAAAGGTATTTTGAAATTACATGGCTTGGCCCAAAAATAAGGTGGCGCGACACCTATAATAAACTATGGATGAAATTTATGAAAGACCATCTTGTATTTTTCGTCCATGTCCTTGGATCATGGTTGCTTCAAACTGTTGAAATCTCCACTGGTAAGGCCTCCTTTGGTTTGTAGGAATTCTATAGGATAGGATTTGCAAAGGAAAAATTCCTTTGAAGCCCTTTGGTTTGTAGGAATGGATTTCTATTCCTATGTAGGATAGGAATCAATCCTTCACGTTTTGGAGGAAAAAAAACATTAGCCTAGACTCAATGGAAAAAAACCTATCCTATGCATCAAATGACATATCTTTCTCTATAGGAATTGACATGCATGTCATCTCACTTCCTATAATTTTCCTATTCCTATAAAATTCCTATCCTATGAACCAAAGAAGGCCAACTCTGTTGTTATTCCCTTCACGCACGCCTTCATTTCCACGCTTGATCATTCCCCAATGTTCACCCTTCTTGCCCATGCCAGGCCCTTCATTCGTAAGCAAAACAAATGTGTTCAATTTAAGCAGCATGATATTCTCAATTTCTCATGAACACTAGAATCATTACCAAAAAAAGGAAGTACCTGATAATTCAATTGACATGCGCGAACACTAGTAATTGATCCAATGTGTGTAGCAGCAGGGGTTGTGGGTGTAACAGTGATAGTGATATCATCATCGGGATGTTATTTGACCAGGAGAGGGTGAAAGAGAAGTTAAGCGTTAAGAGAAAGAAGATAGATTTGTAGAAGATGAGAAATATGTAAAATGAGAACTTGAAAAGAAGAAGACAATACAACAATTGAGCTACACGGAGAGAGGTTGAAGCTTGCAAAGGACACGGAGGATTCAAGAATCATGTTAGATGCCAGTGTCTTGGATGAAGAAAGCAAGTGGCTCCACATGAAAGAGATCAACACGTGCAAAGTGAGAGGCAGATGATTCATTCTTGTATCACCTGAATTGTTGAATTTTATTTATGGCATGTGTTGAATTGTGATTTATTTTGCTTTGTCGAATTGATGCCATATGATGGGCTTGCATGGATATGAGGATTTAGATATGAGCAGTGCGTGCATGGCTTTGCATGAATACGAGGATTTAGATATGAACAGTACATGCTCGGGAACGTTTAGGGGGTCAGATTTTGTCCAGTCCAATTGTAGATGCTCTTAGGAGAGGCACAACAAAAAGTATTCCAAGTCCAGTAAGACAGCATGACACATTTGAAAACAAAGCCTCGTGATTTGCCAATAGTAAAACTCCTGCTAGACAGATCAACCTAGAATTGTCATTCAGTAAACAGAACAAAACTCGCTAATAGAAGAAACATCAGTAACAAAACAGGAACACAGATTTTACAATCCAAACACTTCCTAGTGATCATTTTGTTAAACCAATTGTCGATGCCTTCATGGTTCTACTGTGTTAGGATTTCTGCACGCCCGGTTGTGAGAAAGATCCGTGGTACGTCACAAGAAACCAGCTAGTCGTGAGCTGACAACGCTAGTCATTGCAGAAGCGAGCTGAACCCCTGCTCTTAGCTCTTGAAAGGTGCCTTGATGCTGCCCATGCTCGATCACTCATCTAAGGTGGCCTGTCGCTGGGATAATCTGGTGCTGCGCAATCTCAAGAGGCATTTTTCCATTTTCTTGGTTCTCTCCTGATCCACTCCCATCACAACTGGGTTCCAACAAGCGCACGAGTGAGAGGAAAATCTCCATTCTAGTCACGTCCCTGTTGGCCTGCACAAATGGAACCAAATAAGGAACACCTGTCAAAAGCAGGCACGGAAGGAAGCAACTGACAATTAAATTCATAGGAAGAAAATGTTGCAACTCGTAGAATCCAAGGATGATCTGTACAAGTGCATGGATCCGTGCAATCTGACCCAACCAAGGGATCTTAATAACATTGAACTACTTACCTCAACAGTGAATCGTGCCCAGATTTTATTTTTGCGTGCTTCCATCACACCCCTCAAGATGGTTAGTCCAAGACCTTTGATAAAGTCGGCTATTTCCAGGAAGATTCCTCTGTCATCACAAATCATCTGCAGACATACTGATGTCAACAAATGGGAAGTATGTATATATAACAATATGTGAACTGAGATTAACAGGATGGATACAGAGAACAAACAATAGCAGAATCATTTACCTCCACAAGCATCTGACGAGGCCGGTCAAGATCCTCAACTATGATTGGGCATGTCATAGATTGACTGCCGACGTTGAAGGCCCAAGTTGCACCACCCTCAAAGTAGTCTTTCCAAAGAGGACCATTGTCACCGCTAAGTATCTGTTTGAAGATTATCAAATAGCACAGGAAAAGATTATACAGGGTTTGCAACTATTTTCTCATGGAATAAACTGCAGCGAAAAATAACTGAAATTAGAGTGCGGCGATTCGGTGCCCAGGTGCATCTGCATTGGGGTGCCAACGGTAAATTCAAATAAAATAGCAAAAGAATCGACATTGAAGATGCTCCAATGCGCTATGTGCGTGCAAAAAATTTGTGGTGAAATGGCATTTGAGGAGCTCTCGGAAAAAAAACTGGTCTCAAAGAAACTATGAAAAAGAACACTTCGGAGCCGATTTTTTTCGTGTTTAGAGCTCCTCGAATGTCATTTTGCCCCAAAATTTTGCATGCAGCTAGTGTGTTGGAGCATCTTCGATGCCAAATAATTTCAGATTGTTTTGAACTTTTTACTATTTTTTTGAATTTACTGTTCATCAGGTGCAGATGAGCCTGGGCTCAGACGCGGAATACTAGTGTATACCTTAGATTCATTAGAATCTTTGAGATTGTCAGCATGCTTTGTCACACTCTGCAAGAAAACCATGTGCTTGATGGTCTTTTCCAGTAAAGCATCAATGCTACACTGTTGACAACAAATGACATGAGAATAGCAGTTATTATGCTACAAGTCGTCCATGAGCATTTTAAAGTGAAGTGATATCTAAATAAAAAATAATCACCAAAGGACCATAAAATGCAGAAGTCAAACTAGAGGGTACCTTTGCACCATTAGGTACAAGTTCCCGGAGCTCCTTTATACGATCCTGAATAAGCTGACGGTCTTTTGGCCGGGGCTTAGAACTCTCTCCTGGTCGAGATCTCTTTCGATTTGCCTTGTTTGGTGTATCATGACCTTTGCTGTTTGAGGCTGACACGCTTTCACACTTCATGTTATGTCCACTCTCGATCCAAAGGCGTAACTGAGATTTGTGCATTCCATTGTTTTGGGAAAGACAACCATCCTCGGTCTTCTCTAGGAAACTTGGTTGTTTAACAAAATTTGATACAGCCAACTCATCCTTGACTAGCAAAGGAGGAGCACCAGATGATTCGTGTTGCTTCATCACTTTTGAGCCACAATAAGAGCTGCTAGGCATGTCTGTCAATGAAGTCCTGCAAGAGGCACTGTCACCAGAGATCTGCTTGCCACCAGGATTGACACTGGAGATAACTGCGTCCAATAATTGGTCACTATCAGTTAGTGAGAAGATTCCAGAAAAGGGGAACTCATCGTCCAGTGCACCAAATACTGGAGAGGTATCGAGATAAACTGAGGATTCAAGTGCATCTTTTCCTGAGCTAGCCGGTTTTGCAGTGTTCCAGGTCGAATCGCCATCCACATTGCGGCACAGATGAGGAAATTCAGCACCAAATATATCAAACAAATCATTTCCTGCAGTTGGATCCACAAGAAGTGAGGAAGATCGCTCACTTGAAACGTCTGGGAGCTTCTGCCGATCCATATTCTTCAAACCTTGTATTCTTACAGCAAAACTGGAGTCATTTACTTCTTTAGCCTTTCTGTTTTGGTAAACACGATCCGAAATATCCACTTGATTATCTTGAGAAATGTCTGTTTTAAATTCACTAGAAGTTTGAACTTCGGAGCCAGAGGATGGAGCTGCAACAACATGACATGAGTTTCTTTTGGGACTCCCCATTCTCATAATGAATTGAGCAGATTGGGGGGTTTTATATGAAATAGCCGGTTTGTGCCCTATCATCCCAGAAGTAGAGTTACATCTTTGGTCTAATAGTTGACTTGCTGAGCAGTCATGGAAGTTAGACTTGACTATGCTATTACCTTCAGGGAGAAAATCAAAGTTTCCATGACTGTTTAGAAAATCTAACACCTCACCCCCTCCATGGGATGGAGGCAGGTTCCGGAATGCAAGAGATTTTAGCAGAAGATTTCTGGTATCAGACGCCTCTTCCATGTTTCCCATTCCCAATTGTCCATCATTCATCAACAGTGGATGCTTTTCTGCTGATGTTGAGGTAGAAGAGAGAAAATCTGAGCTAACCACACTGCTTTGTGTGGTGCTTTCAACTCTCCGGTCACAGTAAGGAGTTTGTCGTCTGAACCTCACATCAGGAGCATATAAACTGTGGTCTCTGATAGCTTCACCATTTCTCTGTGCCACCTTAAGCAAGGAAGCTTTTCTCCCTATGTTTACTGATGCACTACTTGACACTGCCGTCGCATCAGGAACATAGCATTGTTCATAAGTCGCTGGAGAACCACTGAAGGCTTTTGAGCAACCATCTGTAGGGTAGACACTCAGAAGACCATGTGAAGAGCGTGACTGGACCTTCTGGCTAGAATCATTTTTAGCTGAAGTAGATGCAACCATACTTGATCGATTGTTTAACTGAGAACACAGCTTCTTATACTGAAGCACATAAGTTGTATTTTCCATAACCTGTCATAAAGTAAGCATTTTATGAGCTCTAACATGTTGGAACCACAAAGACAAGCGCTAAGTCCTAGTGCTAATGGTACAACGCCAGAGCAAGTCCTCTTGATGCAGTTCTCAAAATGCTAAATAAGTAAATATATAACAGAGACAATTATATATCATTTTTTCATTCCAGTTCACCGCTCCAATCACAAGAAGCTTTGGTCTTCCTAGAACCTCACCGCAAATATAGTTTATATAAGGATTCGAAGGACAGAATATTTGACCAGTCAACTACATAATATTCACAAATTAGTATCACTGTTCTACCTCATGGCCCATACTTGAAAACAAGAATAAACTTCAAAACATGTTAAGTGGGATATGTATGATGATATGCATTGTCAAAAGCAGGGCATCTTACCACACTAGTAGAGCCTAGCTGTAGTACACCACGTGGTAACACAGGAATTATTGCAATAGTCTGCGGAACAACAGAACAAGTATAAATTATTAAGAGATCAGAAGTTAAAAAGTCAGTAAATAATCTACCATGCAAGGGCGAAATTCTACTAACCTGAATGCCAGCTCTGAACTGATAGTTCATCTCAGCAGCAACCTATCACCACCAGAAGACAACAGCTTATTGTTCCATTATGAAAGGACACATAACAATTGGGGATAACCAAAACAGCCAGAGCAACTGATAAAATCAAATTGCATTGTTATTAAAAGAAAATTAGAAATCATTATGGAAAAAGATCATGGTTAGCTCAAGCCTGTGTGGCAAATCATGTTAAGTTGTTAATGAGAAATTCTACATGATTTCCACTTGTTCAAATACCATTTGTGTGCTTTTGCAACTAGCTTATCCAGTGACCACTTATGCGGCAGAACAATAGATCAAACTCACTACAAGCCAAAATTTCAACACAGAAGGAACAAATATGTGAGGACAAAATAACCCCACAAGGATTGTTGCGATGACATAAATTCCTGGACAGCATGCTATTAATGACACAACAGCAAAAATGAACCAGACAAAACTGAATTAGGGCTATGGGCATGTTTGGTTCATGACTACTTTGCCACAACTAAAATTAGGCAAAATGTGGCGAACAAAATGGCCACCACAAGTGTGGCAAGATTTGGTAAATAAATGAGTCTATGGCATGTGGACCATGTAGTTAGAAAAGTGTGGCAAGCCATAAGTGTGGCACTGAGGGCGTGTTTGGTTCATGACTACTTTGCCACAACTAAACTTAGGCAAACTGTGGCTGCCACAAAAAATGTGGCGAACAAAATGGCCACCACAAGTGTGGCAAGATTTGGCAAATAAATGAGTCTATGGCATGTGGACCATGTAGTTAGAAAAGTGTGGCAAGCCATAAGTGTGGCACTGAACCAAACACATGCCTAAGGTTTTGCGGCACGACTAATGTTAGGTGTGGCAACCTTAGGCTACAAACCAAACATGCCTTATATTTATATCAGTTCACAAGAACGGAGAAGAAGAATTTATACCTCGGATCTGAGCCTGTGATCATTGGCAGTATCATGGATAATCCACTGATGACTCCCAGTAAAAGCAGCATGGCCGATGGTACTGAAAAAACAGAAAATGTAGCATCTATCCATCAATAAAAGAAATCAACCAAGAACATTGTGCTAGCTAGTAACAAACAAATGATGTTCCCGGTTCTTCCTTACCCTTCTCCAACAACATGAACCTGCGATGCCATAACCTTCCTAACTAGGGTGCACACAGTGCCACCTGATTCACAGCCAACCTCAAAAGCCTCAGATCCAGTTGGACAAGATGCGTGGCCACAGTAGCCATCCTCCCACACTAGATGCCTGCACATCACCAAGGGAAAACAGTGCGCGCAAATCATCAAACAAAACCCAAATTCCCAGCGCATCAAGAAGTTTATTCCACATTGCATTTAGCATTCCTCCATGATCCCCACATCGTGTCCCCATTTCTCCCTCCCCCCAAAAAAGCTTGCACGGAATTGCAACAACATCTCGCACATTCACGCTCTTTTAAGCCTCAGGAGCTAACACGAACTTGCACAGACAAGGCGGTAGTAGCTTTTTGGTTCATGTTCCTTGTTGTAAAGGCGTTACTAAATTTGCAAGCATGAGTGAACACCCACACGAGCGTACGGGCGTTCTTTTTCCAGGCACTATCTTTCCCACAAGGAAAGGAGTCCCTTATTAGTAATTGCTGAGGAATATACCCATCCTACGAATCTTCCTCGCGGATGTTTCATTCGTACGAGACAAATCTAGCTGAAATGGAATGTTCAAGAAGACTTTGAACCCAGAAAAATGAAGAAAAGACACTGGTTTTGAGATTTTCCGCAAGATCGAGCGGGGGGAGATTGTGACAAAAAAAGTCCAAGAGAAGGATGGAAGGCTTACACGGGGTCAGCAGCGCCGATGGCCTTCCAGAAGACGGCGTAAGACCACCCGACCTCCTCGCAGAGCCGCCGCAGCGCCTCCCCCACCGCCATCCCCGCAGCCCCACAGCCCAACGGAACCCTAACGAGCAAACCCTAGCTTCTTCGACGGGGGGAGAGGGCGACGAAAAGACGAGCAAGGACGCCGCTGCCTCCCTAGGCGCAGCGAGAGCCGGCGCGCCCGGCCTGCCTCGCGCGGACCCCGCCGTCCCTCTGCTCTGCCGCAACAGGAACGTCAACACTTGCTCCGTTGGCCGCCGGCGCGCGGCAAGCGGACATCAGTGGGGCTCGCCACCAGCCGCGGGCGCTGGTCCCAGCGTCGGTGGGGACCTCGGGACCACGGGGCAGCACCAGAGGCAGAGATGCCCGGCAGGAGAATGGCGCGGGGTCCCCGGAGGAGCGTCGGAGCCGCACGGCGGCGGGCGAGCGAGCAATGCGGTCTTGGATTTGGCTGCTGCTGCTGCTGCTACAGCCGCTGCGCGTCCTCGTCAATCTCTTTCTTCCTTCTCCGCTTTCGCTTTGGGTTCTCACTCTGGTCTGGTCTGGGACTGGGAGTCTTTGGCCTCTTTGGGGTGTGCTTGGCTTGTGTGAGTGTGAGTAAAATTTCGTTCTGGCTTTTTCTTTGTCGCTTTCTTTGGTTGCCCCTCCTTTTCCTTTGGCCTTCGCGGCTCCCGAGGCGGGCATCATTCCCTCCACGAGGGGCAGGATGGGCATTCCCCCAGCTAATCACCCTCGTCCCCTCCTTTTATGTATTTATACCTAGGTTAAATAATGCTCCTCTCCAACACACCATTCTTGAAACAGGGCTTTCGCCTTGCTTTATTATAAAGCAACCACACAAGAGTACATGGCCAAACAATAAGTGATGAAAACCCTCTAACAACGCCGATCCCAAGGACCGAAACACACATGCGCGACCGACAAAGAATACAGGAAGAGCTGATAACACCGTCACCCTACATCCTACAACACCTACACTCCACAACAATGCCCCTAAAAGGGAACACGACGCGAAGCGCCGCCGCCGAGTCCAAAATGGACAGAGGTTTTCACCCGGAGCCGGATACGAAGAGGAGCCCCGACGTCTTTAAGAAGAGAACGGGGCGCCCGCAGGCGTCGCCGTTGTCGACGATCAAGCGCAGATCTTTCGCTCAGGCACCCATTCGTGCCCGTGAAATCTTAAGGGTAAGAGCGATGAGATCAAGTCTCCAGGTCCAGATCGGGTCGCCACTACTGCCAGAGACAAAGCACGCCCGAGTTACCCGCCGCAATATCTCTTGCTGCCCACACGATCAAGAAACAAAGCCACAACCGCCACCACAGTGCCTGCCGGAAAGCCAACCATGTGGACCACCACCCAGGGTCGTCGCCCCGGCATTCAAACCCTGAGATCCCGCCACCCGCCCGCTTCACAGAGCACAACCCACGGAAGGAAAAGCCCGGCATCAGCCACTGAGTCAGGGTCGGCACCACCACCATATGGGGGCCCACGCCTATTCCCCCCCCCCAATCCCGGTGTACCAGGGGAACATAACCCAGTGACTATCGACAGTCGTCGCAGAGACCCAGCTCAGATGACACCAAGTCCACGGTTCGACGCACTGATCTGCCTGCCGACTCCAACACACCACCATCCGCTAACAACTAATGTTTGATCTAACTATAACCCTATGGTCGTATTCAAAACATATTTACCAGATTAATTGTTTGAAACTACTCCCTCCATTTCATAATATAAGAGTGTTCTTGACATCTTCAAGACAGACCCGTAAACTTCCCGCAACCGTTCCGACGCGGAAGCCATCCAACGCGGTCCTGTATAGGTCCGCGAGGCGGTCCGGACGTGATTTCTACTTGCAAACCAGAGACAAACATGGGGGCTTTGCGGGAGTCCGGACCGATCACAAGCCCGCTTCTGACCACCTTGGCCCACCAAAAACCCTCCTCCCTCTCCCGCGTGCGTCCTCGCCCGGCGCCAATTGACCGCATTCATGCCGCTCTAGAGTGCGACGCTCAACATTGAAGACGGCTCAGGGCAGACGCGACCTCTCATTGTCACCACCATTGAAGCGACACGTTGGTCGAGGGCGCCGCCCGTGAAGCGCGTGCAGTGTCTGCGTCTGTTCAATGCCGGAGACACGTGACTAGACGGGACAGGACGGATATCTACCATGCCCGATCAATGTTCCTGTCTGTCCGTATGCCGACATTAACGAGACTCGCTGGCCGAGAAACCCAGCCCGGCGTCGCGCATTGACGCACCGGACGTCTCGCCTCACCGGAACCCGCTATTTAAAGGCGGCCACACCCGGCTAAATCCACACCATAACACAAGCCCCTCCCCATCCTTCTCCTTTGCACTGCATCTGCCATGACTACACGCAACGAAGCTCTGTGGGAGAGCCTTTCCACGGAGATGAAGCATGTCGTGGCTGCCCTCGCCGCCGCCTGGCAGAGCCACGGTGCCAGGCGGATCGAGGCCGGCTTGCCGGCCAGCTCGACCGAGGTCTCTGACGACGAGGACGAGACCATAATGGAGACGTGCTCCGACGACACCGCCCGGCTCCCGCGCCTTCTGCACGTTGGCTTCACAATGGAGTAGGCGCACTACAACGCCGCCATGGCAGAGGTGCAGCCTGCGCCGGCGCCTTTGTCGGCGTTCCGGCAGGCGCATGATGAAAAATGGTACAACATGTTCCTCTTGGAGTAGCACCGGCTGGCAGACTGACAGATCTACAGTGAGCAAGCGAGTGAGGAGGCCGTGATGAACCCCAACTCCGTCGTGGAGCAGCGTGCCATCTACGCTTCCGTCTGTGCTCAAGTCGCCGCTCGCCAGGAAGCGGCCGCCACGGAGGTTCAGTTGCAGGAGATCACGAAAGAGAACAACGCTAGTTGCGCCTCCTATGCGCCAACGGCGAACCATCAGGCGGCCCAGTGGGACGATGACAGCACTGGCGCCGCCATTTCCACCGTGGACCTCACATCCACCGGTGACGGACAGGTCACGGACTCCTTCAAAGATGAGTAGGCCACGAGAGGCGGTAGGGCCTGGTGTCCCATGTGGGGTGGTCCGTCTCCCATGTTCTACTCTTCCTCGTCGGAGACCGCACCTTCACTTCATCTGTATTATCGCCGGTGCTCATGGAGACGGTGGATGGAAGACGACACGGGCTTGGATGCCGGGCCCCACCGCCGTAGGATAGGTTTATGGTCGGGCCTTTTTTTGTTCTACATGTTCGAAATGTAATGAAATCTGTCATGTTTGTTTGAAATCCGGCCTTGTTTGCATGAATTTCATCCGATTTGTTGAAAAAGAGTTTGCAATGTATGCAGCTAGCGTTGGATGGCGGCCTCTCACATCTGTGTCCGTGAACTGATCACCTCCCGTCTGCGGACGGATGCGGAAAAAAATTTACGGTTTGCCATTAGAGATGCCCTAACAATACTAACTTCCATACAAAAAACAACAACAAAAAAGTACTTCCTTGTTAAGAAAAACAATAAACTGACTTATAGACACTATGGAGGATTTTCTTTAACACGATACAACCGCAGATGATCACATACACACATACACTCCTTTCTATGAACATACTCATGCATATTCTATCCTCTTTTTTTTTGAACCTGAAATCGTAGAACAACACATCCTTATGAGCACATCCAAGATAATAAGCCAACACACCATTTTAAGATTGACAAAATTACTATAGACACCTTATAGTTCACGGGATTCTTTTCCCACTAAACGAACATTACCGAAAAGTCTGAAATAAATCCAAAAAAGTTAAGCATCAATGTTATTGTGTACAATCCGAGCAAAAAAATACAAAGTTGAGAAACTGCGCCAACTATGATCGTCGACCAAAATACCAAACAGTGGGTTCGATCTAACTGATAACAGATTAGTTAATGTGTACGTACCTCTGCACAACTTGACAGTTCATATAAAACTGCAAGCACCATCCTGTGCCACAAGCTTCAAGCAATGTATGATTAATTAGCCTATCTTTTGGATTAAAAAAAGATAGAAATAATTATATATCTTCTTCTCTTTCTACCAAAAAAACTAATCAGTTTGAGAAGCTTTCGTCAGATTGTACCATGTAGCATTCATTTTAAATTGAAAAGCTTCACATAACATAACTACTCGTCAGAATCCTATGAAAGAAGACAAACCGGATAGCTTATAGTATTATCCAATGAATGACCTGTCATGTACCAAAAACAACCACACTTTTGTACCCTGAAACTCTATCTTAGTGCTATGACAAAGACGGTTATGCCCCTCACCGTTTGAGAGTAATTACAAATATGTCAATATGAGGCATTCAAAAGGTGAGCATTGAGTGCAATTATGTGGTCGTGTATGCTTTTGAGGGGTGGTGGGGTAATTTTTAAATTAACATATACATAGTATATTATATATTTTAACAGTAAGAGTACGAAAAGACACATGCTAATGGACAACACTAAATGTCCTTAGACACGTCTGCGAACAGCTTGGCGGACAAAGGTCATTCAACCGTAGTTACCAAATAAAACAGACACCAATTTTCAATTCATTTTCGGATCAATTTTTACATACCCAAATAACCCTGAAAACAACTTTTAAAAAATTACCCTAGAAAAAATGTAATTCTCCCCACTGTAGGTGAGGTAGACAGGCCCACGCGGGACTGTCTGGCCCGGTCGACGTTGACATCCAGCGCGACTAGGCAGAGGTGACGACAGATGCCCTTTTGGCATCATCGTTGTGCTACTCGGGAGCCTCGTCGTCCTTGTCCTCCCGCCCCTCGAAGAGCCGGTTGTGCTCTGCCTTGTCGATGCGGAGCTGCCAATGCTCGCGACGGCGATGAGAATGGAGGCGAGCACGGCCCGGTTGACGTCGATCGTCGGGTCCGCCCCAACCTTGATCGTGAAGGTAGCTTCGGACACGCGCTCCATCTCCAGCTGGTCCTCAGCCAGTCGATGCTCTCCAGGAGCTGGAAGTTGTAGTGCTACCCCGTCTGCAACAATCTGAATGCGGATACCTACAACTCCTTCACTTGGGC